ACACTATCCTATACAGTATCATCACTCCAGTACCCTATGGCAGTCCCCTTTTTTCACTCGCTCTCTCAATCCTCACTATTTCCCTCACTTGTCACAATCAATAATGGTAAATTGCATGTACAACTATAAACAATAATACACTATCTATCCTATGGAGTATCATCACTCTGGTACCCTATGGCAGTCCCTCTTTTTTCACTCACTCGCTCTCTCAATTCTCACTATCTCCCTTACTCACTACCTACTGTTTCACATTTTCCCTCAATTACTGGTTCCCCATTGTCACATTAAGCTAACTACACACAGTACTATTCACAGTTATAATACTCACTTTCTCACACTTACCGTATAACTCTTTCTGGACGTTCATGTATCCTTATGTTCGTTGCTTTACTTCTCTGCTTTATTCCAGGTCCTTCAATCATTAAGGTCCTTTCCCTGGAGTGGAGGCAGTAATCATTAAACACATTCATGTTTTATAAAATAATAAATACTTTCTGTCAAGTTGCTACAAGTTTATTACTTTTGTTTTAAAGTTTCAACAGGGTATCTAGAGCTTTCACAGAGTTTAAGAGAGGCTTTCTCGAGCTACCAAAAGGGTCGGCTTTGCTCTAGCCTACTACAGGGTCATTGGAGCAAACACAGGGACTTTTTGAAAAAACACAGACCTGCTTTAGCTAACATTGGATCTCTAGAGCTGATATAGGGTTTCTAGAGCTAACAAAACATCGCTCAAGCGAACAAAGGGTTGATTGAGCTAACTGTGAGTCACTCGAGCAAACAAAGTGTTGCTCGGCTACTTAGGCCTGGCTAAAGTGTAAAAATACCTTACACCGAACAAGACTCACCTTATTTGTCTTGCTCTCTTAAATGAGAGCAGCAGCATCAATAAGAAGCCTTCACTGAGCAGATGAAGGCTATTTTCCTAACCACGTGACACGGAATTATGCGGATATTGCTAATAAAATCTTTAGGATGCTTTTTCTCCAATAATTGATTTAGTCTGTACCATGTACCCCTTCTTCTTTGAGGGACTGTAACTAAC